GGTTCCGTGGAACCCAGTGTCGCGCCTACTTTTGCTGTTAATCGTAGGCTCAACAAAAATGAGGAAAAAAAATAATAAAAATATTGCTCTCTGTACTATCTTTTGATTGTAAGTAGCTTCTGTCCAAGTTTGGTAAAAATCCAGGATAGTTTATGAATCTAATAAATGTTTTAAAAACTTAAACTGCAGACTGTATGTAATGTTAACTGGAAGAAAAACTAAGTCCATTTATAAGTAAAATTAGGAAAAAATGGAACAAAATTTTAACAAAATTTCCTTCTAGTCTAGATACTAGCTTTTAATCATAAACAAGCTTCTGTCCAAGTTTGGTACAAATCCAAGATAGTTTAAGAAAGTTGTTAAAATTTTAAAAACTTTAACCACAGAGTGAGTGTAATGTTAACTGGCAGAAAAACTAAGTCCATTTATAAGTAAAATACTGAAAAAATGATTTTTTTTTTACAAAATTTACTTCTGAATACTATCTTATGATCATAAACAAGCTTCTTTCCAAGTTTGGTAGAATCCAGGATAGTTTAAGAAAGTTATTAATATTTCAAAAACTTTAACCACAGAGTGAATGTAATGTTTCCTGGCAGAAAAACTAAGTCCATTTATAAGTAAAATATGGAAAAAATAGATTTTTTTTTTACAAAATTTACTTTTGGATATTATCTTATGATCATAAACAAGCATTTATCTAAGTTTGGTAGAAATACAGGATAGTTTAAGAAAGTTATTAAAATTTCAAAAACTTTAACCACAGAGTGAATATTTGTGGACGCCGCCGCCGCCGACGACGACGACGACGACGTCGACGCCGACGGAATGTAGGATCGCTATGTCTCGCTTTTTCGACAAAAGTCGAAGGCTCGACAAAAATGAGGGGTTGATGGCACAATTTGGCATCTGAGGGATTGTAAGCAAAGCATCTGAGGGATTGAAATTTGACTGAAAATTTTCTTAAGGGGGTCTTTGACAAGGTAACCATCCACTCCCCCTGTCCGGAAATTAAATGAAATGAATGGTCCATTAAGATAACAACCAAACGATAAAAATTACAAAAAGACATCTACAATGTATTTATATACAATATGTAAAACATCAGAATCAATGCATTATGTACGAGATTGTTCCCCTCCCCTATTGATTTTTTTTAAAGCAAAAATTGTTTATTAATTAGTGTAGTACATCAACCAAAGAGACAAAAAGTAGCCAAACGACATCTGGAGGTGAACATATGATCTTCAAAAAAATTCAAATGTCTAAGCAGAAGGACAAGCTTCAAATCTAAGTCTAGAAAAGTTGCGCTTTTCTTTTAACAGAGACAATCGTATATCTTCTATCTCCTATCAACGACAAGTTCTCTGAAGGACAGACAACTTTAGATATACATGCAACAACAAACCACAATAACAATATTCATGATTTGGGACAGACACTTGCATTTCTGATCTCAGCCACCCTATAATTACGTGTCTGTGGCTCAACTCATTAGCGGCATGCTTTACGATATTACAGAATAAACGTCTGATGTGTTAATTTACCTATATTGTTGTGACATTGAGCGATGCATATCTCGATCCATTTTTGGAGCCAACGGTTCATGCGATTCCCTTAGTTCTTTTTTTACATAGATTCGTGTCTTATCTTATAATTTTTTTATGAGATCTGAACACCAGTAAAGTACTGTTGCCTCTAATTAAGCTAATTTATTCTTGTTTAGTTTGTGCATGGTTTTCAACTTCATTGTATTTAAAATAAATTGATAAGACGTCTTAATTTTTTTTTCTTCAAATTACAACAGTAAGTTTGACGACTTACCTCCTAAATACTCAAATAGATATCAATCGTCTCCAAGAATTTATGATATGTGATCTCTTTCAGTAAGCTTTGGAATCAGTTTAAAATTACAAACGAAAGCATTTAAATCAAATTATTTAAGATCGATAGAATTGACACGTTCAGTTAATAATTCCGAAAGCAAAGTATAAATTGAGTATAAAGTTTTATTTACTTTGTTCTTGCGATGACGTCATACATATGAATTACATTTCTATTTCTCGTTCGGGATTTGAAAGTGTTTCTCGCAAATTTTATTCCATGTTGTATTCTGCGGGTGGTGACAGATAATACAAAAATTGTCTTTGTTCAAAATTATCATAGAAACAGATAAGCTTCCCTCTTAAAAATCGCGTCTAAATGGACAAACTGTGCTGTTTATTAGGATTAATTGATTGGTTTAAGTCATGGAATTTTTGGTATGCAGACGCAAATAAAATAAATTGAAAGATTCCGATTAGGGTGGATTGAAAGAGTAAATAATACTTACAGACAATTTTGACATCATCGTATTAATTTATCTTTTTGGGGATTGATAGAAGTAAGTAAAACTTCTAGCGACCAGTTTTTACCCCAGCTCAAGTCGAGGAAATTGTTGCTCTGTACTAGACTGATTTTATTTCACATGCTGAAGTCCCTATAGAAAGACGTGTTTTTCCAGCTGGACATTTTTATTTTTGCACTTTGTTTTAAACACCGCATGCTGATTGGAGAGATCTTTGGTCTGAACTGGTCAGGGATAAACACCACCAATTCCCCTCCCACACCCGATGCTTCGAGACTACCGAGGCGACTTAACCTTTTTGTATGGATATTAGATTAATTCATATACATACACGTCTATAAAACTTGTAGTATTGTGAAATGCTTGTGTGAATTAATAAATATGTGAAAACAAGATCCGTTTTATACCAACTTCTGGTTTTATTTTTATATATGATTGCACTTATGATACTCTCTTTTTTTTTTCGGGGGGGGGGGGGGGGAGTGGGGTATTTTTAATCCTTTTTTAGGGAGAGGGGTTTAAGTTAACTTTGTTTATGTTTAATTAAAATAAAAAGACAATGGAAACTTATTTGAATTGTATGCGTTCCATGAATATGCCTTGCTGTAACTTCGCATTTCACGAACTAACTTCACCTATATCACGATTTACTTTCTCCTATTTCTTGATTTACCTTTTCGTATTTCTCGATTTACCTTCTCCTATTCCTCGATTTAGTATAATACCTTCTCATATTTCTTGATTAACATTCACATATTTCTCCCATTTTTTACTTTAATATATTTATCGATTAAGCTTCACATATTTCTTTATTACCTTCACATTTTTCTCGATGTGGTATTGTTTCTATGTGTTACTATTGATAATTTTTATATTTTTACCAAGCAGACGAACCCCCACTTCAGTACATATGTACTGTATATTTGCTACTGGACGTTAAGCAAACAACAATCAAAATGTATGTCTGAATTAAAATTTGGACATGCACCCAAATAAAAGCATTAGCTTTAAGTGCGATTAAATACGATGAGGTATTTCAAATATCAATCAAATATATAATTTTGTAGTGTTTATCGTAAATCTTATTAAAATCCATTTTAACTACAACACATGGCATTGATAAATAGTTCATATTTAATGAACACATTGTTAATAGTTAAAGGCAACGTTAAAAAAAAAGGAACGAAGATGTGAAGTATACGTTCGTAAGACAACAACCCAACAACACAATGTAGCCCGATAGTAGCACGTAATCTGTTGTTTAATAATTGATTGGGGGTTTAACAAATGAAATAGCTTGCATGCTACGCGGTATGGCTTTTACTCATTATTGAAGGTCGTACGGTGACCAATAATTGCTAACTTCTACGTCATTTGGTCTTTGGTGGAAAGTTGTCTCATTGGCAATCACACTACATTGTACATCTTCTAATTTTTATAAACAATCTGTTTTACTCAAGTATAATATTTTTGCTTTTATGTTACAATTTGACTAATTTATTCTTTATACATCTAACGAGGGCTCTACGTGATTCAGATGACTGAAACGTCACGGCTAGCTCTCTCATAAGATCTTATATGTAATGGTAAATCGTGTTGGTTTCCTTCTGCGGTAACACATGATTGATTTTAAAATTCTCAATCATTTCCCTCATGGGATTAGTATCTTAAATTGCATTTCCATTTTATAATTCTAAATAATTTTTGTAATCTAAAAAAGTGAAAATAAAAGAAAAGTATAATTAAGGAAATCAATTTGTCTGTCCCTTTTTGAGAATAAGATGCTTAATATTATTTAGCCTAAGATCGTCTAAGAAACATATTAAAACGATATCGGATGTCTACTGATAGCGAAAATATCACTGATATGCAAAATTAGCCATCAGCGTTATATGTAAAAACAAACAACGTTATCACAAATACGATTTGTTGCCATTTTACGTTTAGGTACCAACAATAAATCAATTTTAAGAAATGAATTTAACAGTTGAAGATTGTATAATAAAAGCAAGTGCGGTATGATTGTCCCTGAGACACTATCCACCAGAGTTTATGTAGAAAATGACGTAGATTTAAGCAACTTTAAGGAACCGTACGGCCTTCAGCAATGAACAAATTCCATATCAAGTAGTCAGCTATAAAAAGACCGACATGAAAAATGTGAAACAATTCAAAAGAAAAAAGCCAACTTAAAGATAAGAAGATATGGCAATTGCAAATGAGACAACTCGCCCATCAGATATCAAATTAAGTAGAAGTTAACGACTAAAGGTCACCATACGGACTTCAACATTGAGCAAATCCCATACCGCTTATTAAGATATAAAAGGCCAAAAAATGACAAATGTAAAACAATTCAATCGAGAAAACTAACGGCCTGATGTATAAACGAACAAAACAAAAATAACAGACAGAAACCTTCAACAACCACTGATTTACAGGCTCCTGACTTGGGACAGACAGATATAGAATGTTTCCCCCTAGATTTCGTTTATTTTTGTCGTTTGGTTGCTGTCTCATTGACGTTTACCCCACATCTAAGTTTACTCATACTAAAAAAGCAATATTCAACAGAACTCGACATGTATTCCCTTTTTCTATAGTACTCAGGCTGATAAAAATGACATAAGAGAATATAAAAAAAACCACTTACCGCATTTGAATCATTTTCAGAAATGTTTAAATTTTTTTTGCTCTCATCAATATAAAAACCATAAACAATTAAGTTCCAACTACATAAAAAATAGAACATGTGAATAACTTCTATATTAATTAATTGTTTACTAAAGTTCCTATGTGATAAATCCAATACGAGATGAGACTAGTATCACAGCAGTATAGGATAAATTGTTTAATCTACTCTGCTGCTTTCCAATACTGAAATAATGATTTTACAACCACTACGAGAAATCGTAGTCAATAAAAGCATTATTCGTCGCTTTTATCAGGATCACAATCGCTTTTATGCAAATTTAAAGCTTTTTTTTTACTTTTTGTTTGATATTGACCGCAATCGGTACTTAAAACTTTGAATTCGTTTCAGAAATTTTATATACATAAGAGCATATTAGTTTTTCCTTCACTTTCACGTTTACAAGTTAAAACCCATAAAAACAAGGATCGTATACATCATGAACGGTAATGAAATTGAAACATTATCAGATGAATTATTGATTACTTACTTCAGATATAATGGGTATGCATTAGTTGACGACAGGATGTTTTTAATCTTCATAGGTAAAATATAAATAAAATTTACGTACACTCAATTATGCATCTGCGTTTTCTATATAGCTTCAATTTCTGAGGCTTACTTTAGTGAAATCTATCTGCTTCTGAAAAAACGCAATACATTGATAGGCTGCTATGAAATCTTTCAAGTTTTCTTTCATGATCAAAGATGCAATATAGAAGTAGTCTGTGATGTAGTTAAGAAAAGTACCTCTGTTTCATTTTATTTTGAATTTGTAAATCTTCAAATTATAGTTGACTTTAAATTCATATTTGAAATTGTTATTGATAATAAAATTATTAGTGTTTCTATTGAATCTACAAACTTGCACATGTTTGTATCATTTTAAGGAATATTTTTTTCCCATTATATTAAAACAGTTTCAAATAAGGCCTCCATTGAATAGATTTTATTCGATAAGATTTTCCCAGTAAGAACCATTCACCTGACTACCTCCATTTCCTAAAAAGGAGTTTATTTTTGTGAAGTTGAATCAGATTGAACTGGAATCTTTTCAGAAGTAAAGCCGTCAATATTGGAGAATAGGATTATCAGCATATTCAGAGCTTTAATGAGCTTTGGCCCTTTTCAACTGATTTTTATCGTTTGTTCTTATGTTGTGCTGTAACATCACTATCGCAGGAAAGGGTAGTTTTACCGCTCAATATTTACATGTATCAATGTTGACAATGCCTAGTTTAAAATTCGTCAGTGGTTGCATTCAATCATATCGACGAATTGAATGCTTTTTGTTTCTGTTATTTTTATGGGTGTTTTCATCAAAGAGCAAGGGGTCAATTGGAGATCATTGATAGTCGGCTCTGTCAAACATTGCTTTGGCTTTGCTCGTCGATTCACAGTCGTGCCGTGATGTGATGGTTAGTTTGCAAAGAATTCCACTCAAACCGGTGCTATGGGCCGTCTTAAACTTGCAATTATGCGAGATTTTTTTGGCTCCGTGTTTAAGGCTTCACTGTGACTTTGAGATGAGGAACAACAATAAAAGCGCTGTTCCTTTGCTGTGCATGAACGGATTTTGTGCTATGTATTGGTACCCAATATATTTTCTTGTCTATAAATAGAAATAAGAAGATGTGGTATGAGTGACAATGAGACAACTGTCCATCCAAGTCACAATGCGTATTAAGTAAACAATTATAGGTCAAAGTACGGCCTTCAACGCGGAGCCTTGGCTCACACCGAACAGCAAGCTATAAAGGGTCCCAAAATGACTAGTGTAAAACAATTCAAACGGGAAAACCAACGGTCTTATCTATATAAAAAACGAGAAACAAGATAGAAGCACTTAAGAATCACATCAACAAACGACAACCTCTGAAGCAAGTTCCTGACTTAAGACAAGTGAAAACAAATGCAGTGAGTTTAAACGTTATAACTATGTGTTAGGATGAATGATAGCATACAGAGTTGTACCAGTTCATTCTATAAATTGATGTTGATGCTCATGACATAATCAATGTCATAAAAAATATCTGTTTACTTCTGTCTACCGTTAAATACACTGTATAACTTGTTATAGCGTTTATCCTGTTTTAAATTTCAATATAGCCGCTATCTCAATATCAAAGCAGTTTATTTTACTTTGATATAATGAATTACCAGGCTGCCATAGATTTAATGTATTGATAATGCTAAACGATTGTCAAAATTGACATTAAAGTACATATGTTTATGGGTATATATAAAATCATGCGCGATATTATCATGCATTATCGAGAAATTTATTTTTCTCATTTCTGACACTTCTGATGTATTTTGTACATTTTTTCAAATAAAATTTTTTAACTATATGTACAATTTGTGAAAATACATTTAATTGCTTTTTCGTCTTTTAAAACGGAACTGTTTGTCTCAATCTGATTGAAATCATACATTTCTCTATGCTCCGTTAGATTAGTTTTTTTCCGCGACGTGAAAGTATGATAGCTTACACGCTGCGACAAACACATCTAACGGTCCAGATTTTAAAATCTCATCTTAATCAGATTGTTATGTTTAAAATAGCAAAACAAGATTATTGTCGCACTGTTGCGGCAGATTCACAAAGCGAGGTAAAGTAAGACCGTTTTGAGGGGGTAACCTTCCGCATCTCCAAAGAAAAACATCCTCCATATTGCTTATCAAACTGATTTGTCTAAGATTTTTACGTATATTCTTAGTCGAAAAGGGAGTTTCAAGAAAGAGCGAAATGCACGACCAAAATGATACATGCCATTTAATTCACATGGAGTTTACACGTGCACTGAATCAATTTTTAATAATGAGTTCGTATTGAATGGATGTGCAGTGCTGTGGTCTTGGTGTTGTTGATAAAACTGTCAAAATTTAGAATAAAATCTGTTTATTTGAAAAAAAAAAGAAATTGAAAAAATGAAATTGTGTTCAGTGTTAGGATGACAATTGTACCTTGTCTACGAAAAAAAAACACTATTCGGGCAATAAATAAAATTGAGAATGGAAATGTGGAATTTGTCATTTGTCAAGCCTTTTTGTCAAGTTGACAACATTTAATAGGAATGTGACATAACTAGAAAACGAGTCGTGTATTGATGAATAAAATCAGGGAACAACAAATAAAAGTTACTGCAGAATGTGTTGTGCCACACAAAAATTGAAATCGAAGCAGTAAACATAAGAGGTGGTTGTTTATGCCGTCTGTAAATGTAAAACTCTATCAATATCGTGGCTACGATGGCATTGCCTCCATTTTTCGACAAGCGGTAAATCTGCAAGTATGATAATGAGTAATGCACAACGTAGAGCCCATTTACAGTTTGATTTGAGTAACTGGGTGTAGAAGTTGTTCCAACTTAATGTTTTGACAAGCGGTACAGATACAGGTACATGTATGATAACATGCAAAAAACAATATAAATACACTTTTTTAACCCTTTTGAACAATTCATTTGTGGTTCATTTTGTAATAACAGTGTTACTTTTAAGAAATTCGGGTTTTAGTTTATACGTGGCGTATGTGCAAAACGTTAAATCTTGAATGTTCAGTAAATTACGTTTATACTGAAATGGTAATTAAATTGAATTCATTGACATACTTATACAATGTAAGATAAAATACTAACATAATGTTGATATCAAGGTGACAATAAAAATTGTCCATATTGTCCTGACGTCATTGGTAAAGGAAGCCTCGGTGGCCGAGTGGTTTAAGTGGTCCAACTACTGTATCACTAGCCTGTCAACACTGAGGTTGTGAGTTCGAACCCCTAAACGTGGCAGGTGCGTTCGTCTCCAATCTTATTTGACTAGGATTGTCAGTTTTCCTACAGAAGGTCGTTGGTTTACTCGGACACTCCGACTTCCTCCATCAATACAAACTGATCGCCACCAACTAGCCAAAAGTGATGAAAGTGATGTTAACTATCATTCAATCAATCAATTGTTGGTAAATATCGCGATATATATAGCCGTCCGGACTTGAACGAAGTACAGCAACACTCAATCAAGCATTGGTAAATATATTTTCGATACTGGTTTAATCCGACACACAGGGATACAAAGCAATAAAAATTGCATAGACATATAAAATGTAATCTTAAAAATAAAAAAAAAGACGTTGTAGCTTACCACATATAGTCTTCACGTCCTGGTTAAATGTATAAAAGTGCACACATTACAACACTTTTAATTAATCTGTTGAATATGTTAATTTGAAAAAAAACTTAACGCTTTGATCAATTCAAATTTTAATCATTTATATTTTCTGATACAAAGTTAAATAAACAGTGTGTATCACGATTCAGTTGAACACTTTTAATTCAACCGACTGCCAGTCTAGTCAGAAAAAATCAGTTTACCCCTCTAATCAAATCCATAGAGGATTTATAGATGTATACATCATAACATGTTCTTATGTTTAACTTCTGGTTAATGGATGGGATGGTATGATTTTAGGAGAAATGAAAAAATCATTATTGTGTTAATAAACTCATCATAGATACCAAGATTAAAATTGTGTACGCACTTTTCGTCTACAAACGACTCATCAGTGACACTCGAATAAAAAGTTATAAATGCCAAATAAAGTATGAAGTTACAGACAGTATTGTGTTAACTGTGAATAAATGCTTTAACGTATTTGTGAGAGACTTTGCCAATAATGTTTGATTGAAAACGTATGTTTAAATAAATTGATGTATTTTGCACTTTACAAACCTAAAACTTGACCCCTCAGTCAAATGTGGTCGTAGATTATTTGGCTTTTCATTTATTTCCCTATTGATGTACTATAGCTAGTACCTAAATGACTGTGTATGAATTCATTCCTTGTTTAAAAAAAAAGTTTTGTTTGCACTGTGCGTTTTGATGAAAACTATTGCTGCAACGCGCAAATGTAGATGACATAGCAACCCAATACACGAGTTTCGGATCGAGCCGGATTTATCGTTAATAGAGAACTGAATGAACTCTCCTTTAAAACGTTGTATTCCGTACATTTATTAAACCGGCAAATTGGATTATTTAGGGGTAAATTCAGTAAAACTATCTTTCATTGACTTCAATGCAAACATATTTCTTGAATTAAATTTATACCTGGTATATCATTCATTAAAGAACAAACGCTCGATATAAAATTTGAATATAACACCCCAGGCCATGTGAAAATTTCCAACAAATCTATGGCTTGCATGAACTATTTCTTAAGTCAAAGTTGGTTTCTGTTCGACTGTGTGAATTTTGATCGTCCCTTTTGTGTCCACCTCCTCGTCTTTGTGACGTTAATAATATGTTTAGTATAGTTTTATTTTTAACGAAAGAATGCAAGTTTGTGGATATTTTACTTCGTACGCTTCAAATTCAAATTTTTTCATTTATTCAAGAAATATTTCAT